AATCAGCCTTGGGAAAAAGAAAACTAGGACTTCTACTGTCCCATATTAAGGTAGAAATGGTAGGGTGCTTAAAAGTGTGTAAACTCATATACATTTGTGGCTACTTTCATTTTCAGGGTGGGGACATAAGATATGGGACTCATTGGCAAAAGGAATTAGAAGGACAGAAAGCCAATGGTGAGCCATATTTAGGGAAGGAGCAAAGAAAGAAGAGCTGCAAACACCAAGAAAGCATAGATTACAAATGGAGGATAAAGATGTGGAAATAGTGAGTTACTAGAGAGGTATGTAAAATTGTGGTGATGAGGCCTAACAGCTGGGTTTTATGGTATTTTATTTGTGTTTCAATACATACAACATTTCAACAAGGTGGTGTATCAGCAGTGATACTACTCTGTTCTGTGTAAGAGCCTTCACAGTTTCTTTTAATTTAATCTCTTTTTAATTTTACTTCCAAATCTGGGTTTAAGTACTGGAACTTTCTGAATATTTTTACTACTAGGCTGTAATTCCTCAGTGGCAGGATAAGCTTTTAGAAATGCAAAACCTCAGGCCACCAGATTTACTGAATCATAATCAGCACTTTCAGTAAGATTAGGTTATTTTCATAGGTACACAATATTTCTTGGTGATTCACTAAACAATGAATAAACAAATTGTATTGTTGTTCTTATTTCCAGTCTCCATCATTAGCCCATCTGATCTATCTCAAATTATCTTTCTCTAATAATGTTTATTATATTGTTTATGTTTTTCTTTTTAAAAAAACTTCAGATCGAACTGATTTAGGTACTTCTATCTGGCTTGCAAAGCCTTTTAAAATGTGACCTCCTCAAATTTATACCATATTTACTTGCATTTTTTTTCCTTTATTCATTTATTCATATGTGCACACATTGTTTGGGCCATTTTTTACTTGCTTTTTTTTTTTAAACCTAAATCTTTTGTTCTAATCAGTCTGTCTTGGTATGAGAAACTATCCTTTTAGTCTCATTTGTTTCTACTTCTCTGTTTTTGCTCATCCCATGTTTCCTACTTGGATTAACACATCCTCTTTCCTACCTAAAACCTACTAATCCTTCAAGTTCTAGATGAAATTGTACCTTTATGAAACTGCGACCACTCCAGCCCATGTTCCTACTGTTCTTCTAACATACTATGTAATATCCTCTCTTCATGATTCTAGCAGATTCCATTTCTACTTCTGCACTACCTAGTTGGGAAATACTGCACAAGCTACTTAACATCTCTGGTTTCCAAAATTTGTCTTTAAAAGAAAAATACTAGAAACCTCAATAGTACTGTGTTCCATATGGTGTGAGAAAATATGTCTTTGGGAATATATTTTAATACAGATGTAATATTTGTGATAAGTGATTTTCAAATATGTTGTTAACTCTCAGGTATTTAAAGCACCCCTCCTGTAATATTTACTGTACTATTAAATTATTCTGTTTTAAAATAAAAGGTACAATAGCAAGGCAAACTGTCTCAACTCAATCTACATAGTGACAAAGTCTGTTTTACATTGACAGTTAAAATTAAGGTAGCTAATAAGAACAAGAGTTGAGAAGTAGAATCATAGAATTTAAAAACCAGATTTAAGTCCTCTTTTTTGTGGTACTGGGGATTGAACCCAGGGTCTGGTGCTTGCTAGGCAAACACTTTGTACTTGAGCTGAGCCCCCAGTCCTTTTGCTTTTACTTTGTTTTTCAGATAGGGCCTGATGCTTTTGCCAGGGCTATCCTTAGACTGTGATTTTCCTACCTCTGCGTCCTGAGTGGTAGAGACCACAAGTATGCACCACCACATCTGGCAGACATAAAAAACAATTTTTTTCTTTGCAGTGCTGGGGGGTTTAAACTCAGGGCCTCATACTTGCTAGGCTGGTGCTCTACCACTTGAGCTACATCCTCCTACCTACAGACTTCTGCATAGTTAGGATCATGCCACCACAGCAGCTTCTTGATTGAGATGGGGGTCTCACTACTTTTTGTCCAGTCTGGTCTTGAATCATGATCCTTCTAATCTCTGCCTCCTGAGTAGCTGGGATTATAGGTATGACCTACCATGCCCAGCACTTAAGCCTTTTTTTTTTGTGGGTCTGGGGGTTGAACTTAGGGCTTCACACTTGTAAAAGGCAGGTGTTCTACCACTTGAGTCACATCTACAGTCCATTTTACTCTGGTTATTTTGGAGATGTGGGGATCTCACAAACTATTTGCCTGGGCTGGTCTTGAACTGAGATCCTACCTGTCTCAGTTTCCCAAGTAGCCAGGATTATAGGTGTGAGCCACCAGCACTTGGCCACTTAAGCTTTTCTAAATAGAAAAGCTACCCTTATCTTTCATAGCTTAGTAAAGATTCTGGGCTTGAGAATATTCTTCCTGGAGAGCTTCTCACAGAGGCTTCTGTATAAAAACATCTGCTTTTATTAGCAAAGGGCTACACTGGAAGAAGAGAATGCAGAGGGAGGCAACCTGCGCAGAGCATCAATAGTCTGTACCTTGTTTCCTTTGCTAAATTCCTAGTACAGATTTCCATTAGAATACCTATAAATTCTTTCCTCCCACATTTCACCTCTGTGTTCTAAACTATTCACTCTGGGCTTCATTAATAGAGCACGCTAAGACCAAGAAAGCCTAGATTTGCATCAATCACTTAAAGACAATGTTTTCAGCTTGACAGAAGGTATTGTTATCAAATAGAAGGACACACACTAGAAATCTGCATATTTCTCTGAATTGCCTATACCTATTTATAGTTTGTTGTTCTTTATGCTGCTTACAAGATATATTTTGGAGTTAAATATAACATCAACATTAATAGGAAATGTCCATTACAAGTCAACAGGGTGGACTCCATACAATTAAACATTAGCAAGGCAACCTGAGAGCCTTTCAATAGTGTTTTGACCTTTATAATAAGATAATGTCTCTCTCTCGCTCTCTCTATCTCTCTCTCTCACACATACACACACAATATTGTATTAAGTACCTTTAATAAAATACAAAGCTGAGCATGGTGGCAAAAGAGGTTGGGGCAGGAGGATCTTGAATTCAAGCGAATTCAGGGCAGCCTGGACTATACAGTGAGATCCTGTCTCAAAAAATCCAAACCAAAAAAAAAAAAAAAAGAAGGGAAGGATGGAAAAATAGGTTTTATCAAGGGGTGGGTACTAGTGGGAGGTGGGCACAAGGAAAGGGGGGAATAAGGGTGAATATGGTGGATATATTTTGCATCATATGTGAAAATAGAAGAATGAAACCTGTTGAAATTATTCTAAGAAGAGGGGAGGAAGGAAGAAAGAGAGCCATAAAGGGGGGTGAATCCAAGATATATTGTAAGCACACATGTAGATATCACAATGTATCCCCTGTACAGCTATTATATGCTAATAAAAAATTTAAAAACCCAAACCAAACAAAACCAAACACAAAAGTGTAACAATAGTCGTGAGAATGGAAAGAATTATAGTTCAGAGCAGATTAAGGTAAAATGTTCCCCCCCCAAAAAAAGCTCCATTTACCTGATATGTTTTAGAGCTCATTAATGCCCTTGGAAGGCAGGGCCAGCACCATTGTAGGGTGGAAACCATTCCTACTGAATCTGGTGAGTTTGTTTCCTGGAGTTTCAGGCCTGATTGCTTGATCTCTGTGTTTTAAAAACTCTTAAATTCATCCTATTTCTTCTCAGAAGTTAATTTTAGTCTTCTTTAAAGCTATGGCTATATCAGGATAGGTTTTAAGGTACTTAAACCTTATATGAAAGGAAGTTACTACTGTGGTCCAAATTCAAAGAACTGGATTTTTTTTCTCTTATAGTGGGTCCTTTCCTACTCTTCCTGGGACAGGGAACCCTGACACCAGGTAATGCACATGGCTTCATCACATGTGTTTTAAAATGGCTGGTTACTTAGTCACGAACTTCTCTAGAGCTAAACGTCCAGGTAGATAAAAATGGTGAAGATTTTAAAGAGATATCTGAAAATACATTAAACAACTTCTACTTGAATATCCTCAAGAAGAAAAAAATCAGGAGGAAGAAAAGAACTTTAAAACGTTATTGGAAAGATGCTGATTATGCCCAAGGATTGCACTGTGTCCACTTTGCATCTAACATGGGTTGATAACACACTGTGTCAGAGCATACCTTGTGAAATGGAGGGCAGAGCTTCTTTGAAAGCACAGTTGATCTGGGGATCCATGCATAATAAGCTTCACTCAATGACAAAGTGGTGATAAACAAGAAAGAGGTAATTATGGGTGCAGGTACATCATGTATCTATCAGTCAGGTAGATTTCCTAGTTTTGTCTCCACAAAGCTAATAAAAAATGGCTGAGCAGCAGTGTTGTGTAGTAGTGGGATGCTCAGAAAGCACAGACTTTCTTTTAATTACATGTGAGACACCACTAGAGATTCCAGAAATATTTAGGGAATGTACTGGAGGGCTGAGTTAATTTGCTACGTGGGAGCAATAAGCTCTTAAAGATGAGCATTTATAGTGAATATGCCTCCCTTTGTACTTTAAAGTGGGTGAAACGGAGGAATTTGGGTTATGCAGTGATACAAAAATCAGTATGAAAAACCTAGAAAACAATTGTACATCACCATCAAAGAATCAGGTAGTGTTAACTTTGACAAATCTCTCTGTCTCTGCTCACCTATGCTTTTCTTGAGACAAGCAGAAGTGTGAATAGGAATAACACCATCACCTTTAATTCCACTGGGGTAAAGTCAATGATATGAAAAGAGATCTCTGTAAACTTAACACACTCATAGTAAAGTAAAACATTTCTCCTGTTGTAATACCCGTTCTAAAAAAATGTCTATTTTTAAAGTATATACGCACCTGTATAATTATCTGGCTTCTGAAGAATATGATTAATTAAAATTTTGGTATAAAATTTGTCTCTCTTAGCAGCAACTTCGCCTACTTAGTATTCCAAAACTTCGTATTTGTACAATAACAACTTTTCAAAATAAAATGCCATACTTACTTGTCTCCCACAATTCCCAAGTTGATTGTGGGATAACCATGTTCCTGAATTGTTGCTAGGAGGGTTGAACGATTGCTGTCTCGAATCTTTCCTGGTAAGAGGTCATCTTCGGGATTTAGCAGCTACAAAGCCAAAAAACCACCACTAATTATTTTCTTAGGATAATGTTGCCTATTTCTAGTGGAAAAAACAGATTTCAGTTTTTCTTTCTTTCTTTTTTTGAGGTGCTGGGGCTTGAACTTTGGGCCTCACACTTGCTAGCAGGTGCTCTATAGCTTAAGCTACTCCTCCAGCAGATTTCAGTATTCTAGAGCTACAATAGTATTTGGCATATAGAAAGTATGTGCTGCAAGAATCTTTGAGTAAGTATTGCAAGTAAAGGAGGGTGAGAAAATGTTCCTACAGAATTAAAAGAGATATGAAGAAATTTCAATTATGATTGAAAAACAGGCCAAATATCACACAAGCAATGGCTATAATTTGATAATAGTGCCATGGAAATAATTGTTACTAGTCCAATGAAAGGATCTAAAAAGTATCTTTCTTTTTTGCCTCCAATTTATCTTTCAAAGAGAACATCTGGGGTAGAGACTCTGTGAAATGATATTCCCAAGTCTGAGGAGAATGATCATTTTTTTTAATTTCAAGCTTTTTGGTCCCTTTTCTGAAGTGGGATCAACAGTATTAAAGAAGTTAAACATCTCTGAAGGAGGAGACAAATATTTTGTCTCTGAGACTAACAAGCTTACAGTGTTACTTAGCTACACAAACCCAAAATTCCACCATTCTGAATGGAATTGACCTTACATTTACTAATCTTATGTCTATGAGGCAAACCAAAAGGCGCTTATTCTATGTCAGGAGATTCCAATGAGGCAGTCAAAGTTTACTATAGGAAGAGTTTTGGATTCAAGTTCAAGTTATCCAAACTTTGCCTTAATTTTCTCATTTGTAAAATCCAATTATAACAACTACCCTGCAAGGTACTTATTAGCATTGAGATAATAAACATTTATTTATGTAAATAAATAATTTTTATGTAGAAATATATAAAAAATGCAATTCTCTTTATGATATTTGTTGTTGAAAGAGGACTTATTCCCCCCACCCACAATAGTTCTCATATTGTTACTCCAGGATGCTAGTATACATCACATTAGCTTACAGTGTAAACAAAGACTGTTAGATTATAAAATACTTAAGAAAGGGGATACTTAACATCCACACATTTAAAAATATAAGGTTAAGCCAGGCACCAGGTATCTCATGTCTATACTGCTAAATTAATTGGGAGGCTGAGATCAAGAGGGCTGTGGTTTGAGGCCAGATTGGTCAAAACATTTGCAAGACTCCATCTCAACCAATAGCTGGGTGCGATGGTGTGTGCCTGTCACCCAGCTATGGCTGGAAGTGTAAAATAGGAGGATTGTGGGCCAGACTGGCCTGGGCAAAAAGCAAGACCCTATCTCCAAAAATACCCAGAGCAAAAAAAGCTGGACGTGTGGCTTAGGTGACAGAGTGCCTGACTAGCAAGCACAAAGCCCTGGGTTCAAACTCTAGTACCTTCAAAATATACATATATATATATATATATGCAATACATATTAAAAAATTTATACATATACACATGACTATTTCACTTATACATTAGATTTAAGACTATTATAAAGCTAAAAAGTCCATTTTTCCTTTTTGTGGTACTGAAGATCGGTAACCCAGGGCCTCACATATGCTAAGCACGTGCTTTACCATTAAGTTACACCTACAGCCCAAAAAGTACTGGTTTGAAGTGAGAAAATCTAAACATTACTTCAGGAGGTTGAAGGCAAGCCTGCACATCTCAGATGCTTAGGCTATTCATATGGTCAATACCCAGGGCTTTGTATATCTCCTCTTCTAAATAACCACCAGCCCCTTTAGTCTTCCTTCTGACTCATTAGCGATAGCATGTCATCCGAGTTTTGTCTTTAGGTTGAAAAAGCAGTAGCTTTGCAACTGACCTTTCACAATAGGTGGAGAAAAACCTCTGACCATCTTATCTTTTTCTTCAAAACTGAACCCACTATTGTGCTTAGTCACTAACAGTGCTTAGAAAATTGCTTTTGCAGTGCTAATGTAAATTAATTTTCTCTTCTTAATGCAGTCATTGAAGTCATTATTATTTTATAAAGGCCAAGGCTTACAGCTCTTTAACTTCATCAGACAAGTTGCTTTAGAATGAATACTGTGTGTTTCTGTATGTATTTTTTTTTACACCACAGTAGTGACCACCAAAAAAACAAGACTCCCTTTGAATTAGGGTGTTTTCTTTGCAATTCATGTTCCCTCTCTTTATTTTGCTGTAAACAGGTCCAGAAATAACAGAACAATTAGAGATCATTGGAGAATCAGTTATTTGTCTGGAAAACTGACATAATGAAATAATAGCTAGTTAAATGAGGGTATGGATTTTGCAGTGCATTTTAAGCATAGTCAAAGATAACATAAAATTAAAATGGAAGATTGATTATAAGGCTAAATATACAAATATAAATACTAATATAAACATACAATTTTCCTGTTATTTTCTACATTTAGTCATGTCCAGAACGATGCCTAAAAGTTAGTACAGTTCAATTACAAAAGAAAGAAAAATTACAAAGTAAAACACAACCTACCCTTCTCCAAAACGTTAAATTTCAATCTACTGGTTATGATATTATCAATGGTACCACTACTTTCTCAGCTTTAAAACATTCAATATTTTTTTAATTTTTATTTTTTTATTATTCATATGTGCATACAATGCTTGGGTCATTTCTCCCCCCTGCCCTCACCCCCTCCCTTACCACCCACTCCATCCCCTCCCTCTCCCTCCCAACCACCTCGATACCTGGCAGAAACTATTTTGAACTTATCTCTAATTTTGTTGTAGAGAGAGTATAAGCAATAATAAGAAGGAACAAGGGTGTTTGCTAGTTGAGATAAGGATAGCTATACAGGGAGTTGATTCACATTAATTTCATGTGCATGTATGTTACCTTCTAGGTTAATTCTTTTTGATCTAATCTTTTCTCTAGTTCCTGGTCCCCTTCTCCTATTGGCCTCGGTTGCTTTTAAGGTATCTGCTTTAGTTTCTCTGTGTTGAGGGCAACAAATGCTAGCTAACTTTTTAGGTGTCTTACCTATCCTCACCCCTCCCTTGTGTGCTCTGTTTTTCATGCGCTCAAAGTCCAATCCCCTTGTTGTGTTTGCCCTTGATCTAATGCCCGCATATGAGAGAGAACATATGATTTTTGGTCTTTTGGGCCAGGCTAACCTCACTCAGAATGATGTTCTCCAATTCCATCCATTTACCAGCGAATGATAACATTTCGTTCTTCTTCATGGCTGCATAAAATTCCATTGTGTATAGATACCACATTTTCTTAATCCATTCATCGGTGGTGGGGCATCTTGGCTGTTTCCATAACTTGGCTATTGTGAATAGTGCTGCAATAAACATGGGTGTGCAGGTGCCTCTGGAGTAACCTGTGTCACAGTCTTTTGGGTATATCCCCAAGAGTGGTATTGCTGGATCAAATGGTAGAGCAATGTTAGCTTTTTAAGTAGCCTCCAAATTTTTTTCCAGAGTGGTTGTACTAGTTTACATTCCCACCAACAGTGTAAGAGGGTTCCTTTTTCCCCGCATCCTCGCCAACACCTGTTGTTGGTGGTGTTGCTAATGATGGCTATTCTAACAGGGGTGAGGTGGAATCTTAGTGTGGTTTTAATTTGCATTTCCTTTATTGCTAGAGATGGTGAGCATTTTTTCATGTGTTTTTTGGCCATTTGAATTTCTTCTTTTGAGAAAGTTCTGTTTAGTTCACTTGCCCATTTCTTTATTGGTTCATTAGTTTTGGGAGAATTTAGTTTTTTAAGTTCCCTATATATTCTGGTTATCAGTCCTTTGTCTGATGTATAGCTGGCAAATATTTTCTCCCACTCTGTGGGTGTTCTCTTCAGTTTAGAGACCATTTCTTTTGATGAACAGAAGCTTTTTAGTTTTATGAGGTCCCATTTATCTATGCTATCTCTTAGTTGCTGTGCTGCTGGGGCTTCGTTGAGAAAGTTCTTACCCATACTTACTAACTCCAGAGTAGTTCGTACTCTTTACTGTATCAACTTTAGAGTTTGTGGTCTGATATTAAGATCCTTGATCCATTTTGAGTTAATATTGGTATAGGGTGATATAAACAGATCTGGTTTCAGTTTTTTGCAGACTGCTAACCAGTTTTCCCAGCAGTTTTTCTTGAAGAGGCTGCTATTTCTCCATCGTATATTTTTAGCTCCTTTGTCAAAGACAAGTTGGTTTTAGTTGTGTGGCTTCGTATCTGAGTCCTCTATTCTGTTCCACTGGTCTTCATGTCTGTTTTTGTGCCAGTACCATGCTGTTTTTATTGTTATTGCTTTGTAATATAGTTTGAAGTCAGGTATCGTGATACCTCCTGCATTGTTCTTTTGACTGAGTATTGCCTTGGCTATTCGTGGCTTCCTGTGTTTCCATATAAATTTCATGGTAGATTTTTCAATCTCTTTAATGAATGTCATTGGAATTTTGATGGGAATTGCATTAAACATGTAGATTACTTTTGGGAGTATCGACATTTTTACTATGTTGATTCTACCAATCCATGAGCATGGGAGATCTCTCCACTTTCTATAGTCTTCCTCAATCTCTTTCTTCAGAAGTGTATAGTTTTCCTTGTAGAGGTCTTTCACATCTTTTGTTAGGTTTACACCTAGGTATTTGATTTTTTTTGAGGCTATTGTAAATGGAATTGTTTTCATACATTGATTTCAGTTTGCTCATTGTTAGTGTATAGAAATGCTAATGATTTTTCTATGTTGATTTTATATCCTGCTACCTTGCTGTAGCTATTGATGATGTCTAGAAGCTTCTGAGTAGAGTTTTTTGGGTCTTTAAGGTATAGGATCATGTCATCTGCAAATAGGGATATTTTGACAGTTTCTTTACCTATTTGTATTCCTTTTATTCCTTCTTCTTGCCTAATTGCTCTGCTTAGGAATTCCAGTACTATGTTGAATAGGAGTCGGGATAGTGGGCATCCTTGTCTGGTTCCTGATTTTAGAGGGAATGGTTTCAGTTTTTCTCCATTAAGTATAATGCTGGCTGTAGGTTTGTCATATATAGCTTTTATAATGTTGAGGTACTTTCCTTCTATTCCTAGTTTTCTTAGAGCTTTATCATGAAATGGTGTTGGATCTTATCAAAGGCTTTTTCTGCATCTATTGAGATGATCAAGTGGTTTTTGTCTTTGCTTCTGTTAATGTGGTTTATTACGTTTATTGATTTTCGTATGTTGAACCACCCCTGCATCCCTGGGATGAAGCCTACTTGGTCGTGGTGAATAATCTTTTTGATGTGTTGTTGAATTCGGTGTTGCCATTATTTTGTTGAGGATTTTTGCGTCAATGTTCATTAAGGAGATTGGGCTATAGTTCTCCTTTTTGGAGGTGTCTTTGCCTGGTTTTGAGATAAGTGTAATACTGGCTTCATAAAATGTGTTTGGCAGTTTTCCTTCCCTTTCTATTTCGTGGAATACTTTAAGGAGGGTTGGTATCAGTTCTTCTTTAAAGGTCTGATAGAGTTCAGCAGAGAATCCATCAGGTCCTGGACTTTTCTTTTTTGGGACTCTTGATTGCTGCTTCAATTTCATTTTGTGTTAGAGATCTATTCAGGTGATTAATTTCCTCTTGGTTCAGTTTTGGATGGTCATATGTATCTAGAAATCTGTCCATTTCTTTAAGATTTTCAAATTTATTTGAATATAGGTTCTCAAAGTAGGCTATGATGATTTCCTTCCAGGAACTTTTTAAGTTCTTCTTTTATTTCATGAATGACCCATTGTTCATTAAGTAATGAGTTATTTAGTTTCCAGCTGTTTGCATGGTTTTTGTCTTTACTTTTGTTGTTGAGTTCTAGTTTTATTGCATTGTGATGAGATAGTATGCACGGTATAATTTCTATTTTCTTATATTTGCTGAGGTGAGGCTTGCTTTGTGCCCTAGGATATGATCTATTTTGGAGAAGGTTCCATGGGCTGCTGAGAAGAATGTATATTGTGTAGAAGTTGGATGAAATGTTCTGTAGACATCAAGTCCGTCCATATTGTATATTTTAGATCTTGGATTTCTTTATTGATTTTTAATTTGGATGAACTATCTATTGATGACAATGGGGTGTTAAAGTCTTCCACAACCACTGTGTTGGAGTTAATATATGCTTTTAGGTCTTTCAGGGTATGTTTGATGAAATTGGGTGTGTTGACATTGGGTGCATATAGGTCGATAATCATTATTTCCTTTTGGTCTATTTCCCCTTTTATTAGTATGGAATGTCCTTCTTTATCTCATTTGATCAATGTAGGTTTGAAGTCTACTTTGTCAGAGATAAGTATTGCTACTCCTGCCGTTTTTCGGGGGCCATTGGCTTGGTAAAGCTTCTTCCAGCCTTTCATCCTAAGGCTATGCTTATTTCTGTTGGTGAGATGGGTCTCCTGTAAGCAAGAAATTGTTGGATCTTCCTTTTTAATCCATTTCGTCAAATGGTGCCTTTTGATGGGTGAATTAAGTCTGTTAACATTAAGTGTTAGTACTGATAGATATGTGGTGATTCCTGTAATTTAGTTGTCTTAGTTGTTCGAAGGTTTGATTGTGTATACCTAAGTTGAGGTTAGTCTCTACTTACTTGCTTTTTCTTTTCTTGTAGTTTGGTGCTGCCTGTCCTTTCATGGTTATGTTGGGTTTCACTTTCTGCATGCAGAATCCCTTGAAGAATCTTTTGTAGTGGTGGCTTTGTGGTCACATATTGTTTTAGTTTCTGGTTATCATGGAAGACTTTTATTGCTCCATCTATTTTGAATGATAGTTTTGCTGGGTAGAGTATCCTGGGGTTGAAGTTATTTTCATTCAGTGCCTGGCAGATCTCACCCCACGCTCTTCTTGCTTTTAATGTTTCTGTTGAGAAGTCTCCTGTGATTTTGATGGGTTTACCTTTGTGTGTTGTTTGTTTTTTCTCTCTTACAGCCTTCAATATTCTTTCCCTAGTTTCTGAACTTGTTGTTTTAATGATGACATGCCGTGGGGTAGTTCTGTTTTGATCTGGTCTGTTTGATGTTCTGGAGGTCTCTTGGATCTGTATGGGAATATCTTTCTCTAGATTTGGGAAATTCTTTGTTATTATTTTGTTGAATATATTACGCATTCCCTTTTGCTTACACTTCTCCTTCTTTGATGCCCATGATTCTCAAGTTTGGTCTTTTGATGGAGTCAGTGAGTTCTTGCATTTTCTTTTCACAGGTCTTGAGTTGTTTAATTAATAGTTCTTCAGGTTTTCCTTTAATTACCATTTCATCTTCGAGTTCTGAGATTCTGTCTTCTGTTTGTTCTATTCTGCTGGATTGGCCTTCCGTTTTGTTTTGCATTTCTGTTTCGATCTTTTTTCTGAGGTTTTCCATATCCTGGGTTGTTTCCTCTGTAATGTTGTCTATTTTTGTCCTGAGTTCATTTATCTGTTTATTAATTGTGTCCCTCTGTTTCACTTTGGTGTTTATACAGTGCTTCTATGGTTTCCTTTATTTCTTCTTTTGCTTTTTCAAATTCTCTAGCTTTGTTGTCTTGGAATTTCTTGAGTGTCTCCTGTACATTTTGGTTGATCATATCCAGTATCATCTCTATAAAATTCCCATTGAGTACCTGTAGTATGTCTTCTTTTAAATTATTCTTGTGGGCTTCATTTGGTTCTTTGGCATAGTTTATCTTCATTTTGTTGGAGTCTGGATCTGAGTATCTGTTTTTTTCATTTTCCTCTGGTTCCTGTACTAATTTTTTGCTGTGGGGAAACTGGTTTCCCTGTTTTTTCTGTCTTCCTGTCATTGCCCTTGGTGTTGTTACTGTCCCTGTACTGTGTGCAATTATTTTCTGGCTTGTAATAATAGCACTAGTGGATATTTAGAATGGAAGGGTGAGAGGGGATGGAAAGCAAAGAAGTTAAAGGAAAATGGAAAAACAAACAATCAAGTAGAAAAAACAAAACAAAGAAATAAACAAAAAAAGTTTCAAAGATATAAACAGGGAGAGATAGTGTACTAATCAACTGTAAACTTAAAAGGCATTAGAGAGACAGAGAGGATTGAAAACAAAAAATAAAAAGAATAAAGATAAGAATAAAAATAAAAAATAAGTAAATGAAAGGAAAAAAATAAATACAATAAAACAAACAAAAAAAATAATAAAAAACCCCCCCCAAAACCTCCAAGTCCAAATGCAATGAAGTTTCAGTCTTAATAATTTTGGTGTTCGTCCCTCAGCCTCCAATCCTGGAGATGGTGCCTCAGATGTTGTTCTTTAGTTGTCCTATCAAAGGGGAAACATAAAGTAGAACAAAACCGCACAAAACAAAAACAAAAACAAAAAACTCCCCACAAAGTGTCCCAAGTTCAAATGCAATACAGTTTCAGTGAGTTTTTCAGCATGCAGGTGTAGTTCGGTTGTTTTCTCATCAAAGGTAGGGAGAGAGAAAAAAAAGAGTCTGGAGACAGGTCTGTGAATGGTATCTGCGGCTGTGGCTTGCCTGCCCACTGCTGTCAGCCTGCTGTTGCTGGCGGCGTTATTCATGCAGATCTCAGGAAAGGAGCTACAACTCACCTGACCGCAGTACTTTGTTTAACTCAGAGTTCTGTGCATGAGTGCTGCTATACAAGCTTTCCCCTTTCCAAGCACACTGGGGAGGTGAACACTGCGTACCGCATTCTCAAGGCCTGCATGTTTATTTACAGGCTCACGTGGGAAGTGGGTCTCCCTTCTCCGTGGAGTTTTCCTCCCTCTGCCACTGCTCACAAGCTTTCTGCTGCCTGGTGCTGGGCACGCACCTCCGCGCCCCGCTTATTTGGCCAGGCCCAGCTTGTTTATTTCCGTTGTGGGAAAGGGATTCCCCTTCCCCCTCTATGGCACTCAAGGGTGCCCCACCGTTCTTTTGCTATGTGACCTTTATTGTTCTTATTGCTTATTCTCAGTTTCCTCTTTTTTCCCCCTGGTGGGGTTGGTCTGTCCAAGGGGGCTATGCCTGATCTGGCCCAGGGTTGTCTGTGGAAGTACTGCATACCGCTTAGCTCACCTTGCCCCATGTCTTCCCAAAGCCATCTGGGCGCGGCATCTGGGCAGCGCCCGGGGGCCCTCCTGGTTTCATCCTTTAATGTGAAGTGGAGATGCTCTGTGCCGGCTGGAAGGTTGTGGAAGGGGTCAAAGTTTTGCCTCTTCCTTCGGTGGTCTTGCCTGCAAGGTGTGTCTCCAGCGGTCTCCAAGAATTCACTTTAGGGGCACGCTTTCTCTGTTCCTCCCTCTACCACCAATCTTGGATCTCCAAACATTCAATTTTTTAATCTCCCCTCCCTTTGTAGTCCCATCTCTTTTCCTAAGACCTCAGTCATTAAGAGCATTCTAAATTTTTCTTCTTATTTGGTGAACTGAAGTTTAAATTCAGGGCCTCACCACTGGTTGGGCAGTTCTACACTTGAGCCACACTCCTCTTTATTGCTAATATTTCTTGGGATTAGGGTCTAGTGGTTTTTTTTTTTTTTTTTTTTTTTTTTTGTTAGGGCCTGCCCTATGCAGTGGTGATAACTCCCACCTATGACCTCTGATAGCTAGGATTACACCATAACTCGGGTTAATGGTTGAGATGAGGTTTCTTGCTACTGGGATTATAGAGTGAGCCAACCATACTGGCCCCAAGGAGCATCTAATTTATCAATATGCCATCATCCTACATTTTTGTTCACTCTGTTAGCATCTAGCCCCCACTTTTATTTATTTATTTAAATTTTTATTTTTATTCAATATGGCATGCATAACAATGTTGGGTCATTTTCTCTCCCTTCCCCCCACCTCCTTTTACCCCGCCAACCTCGTCGCTACCAGCAGAAACTGATTTTGCCCTTTATCTAAGTTTTGTTTGAAGAAAGAGTAAAAGGAATAATAGGAAGGACCTAGGGTTTTTTGTTTCTAGGTGAGATAAGGATAAGCATACAGGGATTGACTTTGCATTGCTTTCCTGTACATTGTATTACCTTCTTACAGTTAATTCTTCTCAAACTAACCTTTTCTCATAGTTCCTGGTCCCTTCTCCTATTGGAACTCCAGTTGCCTTTAAAGTATCTGCTTTAGTTCTCTGCGTTGAGGGCAAAAATGCAGCTATTTTTTGGGTCTTTACCTATCCTCATACCTTCCTTGTATTTTTTGCTTTATATCAGTGATGAAAGTCTAATCCCCTTGTGTTTGCTCTTGATTAATGTCCACATATGAGGGAGAACATACGAATTTTGGTCTTTTGGCCAGTTAACTCAGATAATTTCTCCAGTTCATCATCGAATGATAACATTTTCATTCTTCTTCATGGCTTGCCATAAAACTCCATTTTGTATAAATACACATTTTTTCTTAAATCCATTCCGTCGGTGGGGGGCATCTTGGTGTTTCCATAACTTGGCTATTGTGAATAGTGTTGGCAATAAACCATGGGTGTGCAGCTGCCTCTGGAGAAACTGTGGGTCACAGTCTTTTGGGTGTATCCCCAAGAGTGGTATTGCTGGATCAAATGGGAGATCAATGTTTAGTATTTAAGAAGCCTCCAAAAATTTTTTCCAGATGGGTTGGTACTAGTTACATTCCCACCCAACAAGTGTAAGAGGTTCCTTTTTCCCCGCATCCCTCGCCAACACCTGTTGTTAGTGGTGTTGCTAATGAATTAAGCCCCAATTTATATAACAGTTTAAGTAATCAAAGTTCTAGGCATTCATTGTATTTGAGTTTTCTGGCAAAAAGTCTTACAATTCACTGCTTTGCTTACAGACTCTTTCCTTCTGAAGAAAAAAATGAACTTGCAAAACAATATTCTATTACTTTCCATAAAGGTAATAGTTACCAAACAAGACTGATAATTCAAACTAATCTTAAGTAAAATTGTATTTTAATGCAAGCTTATTCAGATTCATATATGTTCCCCAAGAATAGGACTAATGCACAAACAGATTTTAACCAGTTTAACTCATATGAGTTTATGTGCTTCAAAGGTAAGACAAACTTGTTCTAATCAAATTGTGAATGATCAATTATCAAATTATGATTCTTGACCAGTCTCTCCCTGGACCTTGTTTACTAACATTACCTTAAAACAGCCCAGAACCAAAGCCAGTTTTCAAAATCCTTTAAGTACTCCTCTGTAACTTTCTCCTTTTGAGCACTAATTGAGACTCTGTTTCACAGGGTAGCAGAAGATGCTACTTCAAATATACCACTTTGGTATAAGGATAATTTTGAAGCTGAGGGAAAATGGGAAAGAATCAGGTACAAAAACCTCTGCTTCCCTTTAGTTTGCCTAAAAGCAGGACATAATTCACAGATACTCCCCCCATAACCAGGAAGGACAAAACTGTAGACCGCTTACCAGCCTGGAGATGGCTCCAAAGGATCTACATAACATTACTCACCATTAACTGGCTTTTATCTATAATTAGTTTCCCATAGATTTGCTTTCCCACAGATGCAACCACTGGAGACTCAAGTTTTACCCTTGTCTGTCACAAAGTTTAAGATTTTATTGATTTTTGGAAAAGATGTTTTATAAGCCAGAGTCCTAACTACCTCTTTGAAAAGTGTCATACATGTTCATAAGTTCTTCTTTTTATTCTTTTAAAATCACATATTTGTTAATCTGTTCTCTTGTTTATAGGACTCCAGCTAAGAACTCAGAAGAGTAGAAGGGAAAAATAGTTTTCCTCCCCTATACTGTCAAGTTATGTTCTCCCTTGCTCCAGAAATGTTTAAAAATATATCCAGGATTGGTATGATCAATCAGGTTTCCCTGGTGTCTTAGGACTTTGATAGGTACAGAGGTGAGGTTCATCACTTAGACGTCTTGCCCATTAGAAACTCATGTTGTTGCAAACTGCACTTCATGGGAATTCTCGTAGCCTCTTTTGGGGGATTCTTTATGAATGATGTGATAAATCTGGACTTCTTTTGACCTGATCCTTATTTTTGTTGAGCTCATAAAGCTAGCTGATACTTATTTTGTTGTCATAAGAATATGGTTTCTCAGGACTTTTAGTTATTGATCAGAATTGTACTAAGTTTGTTTTTTTGTGAAGATATGCTAAGGCAGTAATTGATAATAAAGGTTCTGTTCAATTGGCTACATTGTGTCCTTTTAAGAATCTTTCTTTTTTTGCCATATTTCAGAAATTTAAGATATCTCCTTTCTACCATTCTGGAACTGTAAACTTTTGGTAAAATGTCCAGGAGTTCAGTTGTTGGATTAAAGCTAATGACTCATGGATGTATAAGTAATAAACCTGTTTAACCTCCTGGCATACACTCTGGGTTCTGTTTTGTTTGTCTTTTGGCATATGTCATTTCTAAAGAGCATAATTTCATCAAGTACAACTCAGAATTGCAGTGACCATTTTTGGAATACTTTGGGACATGACAAAAATTCACTTGGAAGTATTTTAAGAACAAAAGGGGAAACAATTCTGATATTTAGTGATTAGCAGTTTAAAATTATTATGTAAAGCTTCAACATAAAAAATTCTGGAGCGGGCCCAAAAAAAGTAAAAAAAAGCCCCCCCCCCCTTCCCTTTTTTTTTTTTGTTTTTTTTTTTTAAACCCACTGAAGAGATTTTCTGTCTTACTTGTGTAAAAGAGAAATCACTATTATTTTAAAGAAGACCACCTCTTCATTTCAAGCTTATCACAGATTAATCCCATGGTCTTGAGGAATTGTCAGTCCTAACAGTATCTGAAACTGGTTGCAATGACTCCGATTCTCCTTTTTCATGTATTGAAATGGGAATTGTCTACTTTCTAAGACTTCTTTCTTCCCACAGGGAAGGTGATTAACCTTTTATAGTGGTCAGTCCTCCATAATCCATTGCAAGCAACCCTTAAACCTATTCACTTTCCTTTCTCTTTCTGGAAAATTATTGATTGAAAAACATCTGGTCATAACATACACAACCTAGTATACCCAAAATTGTCTAGATAAAACAGACTGAACACACAAAAAAAAAAGGAAGAACAGTCAGTCAGTCTATAAACTCCTAATGGAGCATATTCCTACTTCAAATAGCTTTTTGAAAGTACAAACTATGAAAAAAGAAAAGGTTAACTGAGAGTAGCTAATTGTCTGTTACTGGTATAACATCATGATATAAAGAGGAACATTCAGAGTTTCAAACACAAATTTAAGAAGTTCTTAAAAGTTGGTTTATAAATATAGATTTAACAAATTAAACAATTAGAAAAGGACAATAATTCTTCTTAAGGATGACTCTTTGAATGAACTAGACTGATTTTAATAGTTTTTGGTTAAAACTGTTCTGTGTTTTCTTTCTAATGAAACTGATGAATGGAATGCTGAAAAGAAATGAATTCTTCTTTTTTCTTTTGGGGTGCACTGGAGTTTGAAGTCAGCGGGTCTCACAACTTGCTGGGGCATCTAACACTTGAGGAGCTCCACCAGCCATGTTTTTGTTTTTTTAAATGTGGTGCTTGGGATGAACCCAAAGCCCTCAAATGCCTGTTAGGTAAGTGCTCTACCACTGGAATTTATATCCTGTCCAGGATGAATTCTTGTAATGTTTCTAAAGTCATTGAATTTTAATCATGACCCTAAGTTTTACATTTCAGATCCTTAGTTTAATGCTAAGACCTTAAATGAAACATTAATTGGGAGGAAATGACGATTGTCTTGGATGTGTACACAGTAGAATGTAATATTTATATGCCAGAGCTCCTGTTAAATAACATATAAAGATCATTACTAAAAGGTTAAAAAGGAATACACGAAGGTAGAAGAATATTTGTGCAAGGCAAATAAATCTTGTTTTAGGTGGTACTTGAAAAAGAGAATGATATTTTTCCTAGTGTAAAAAATTGTGTGATTTGTGTCAGAAATAAAAAGGATAAATTTGAAAGCATTGGGTACAATAACACACATTTCTGAAGGGGAAATGTTGTTCATTTGCATGGGAATAATCATTTTCAATATAATGAATTTACAGTAAGAATAATAAATGTGCTCTGATCTGAATGTTTGGTGTCCCCTCAAAATTAAACGTGTTGAAATCCTAACCTCACAGAGCTGTCAATAAGAGGGCAGGGTCTTCTTGGGAGGTGATTATAATCACG